TTCTAATCAAGTTCTTCGCGACATGTTAAAGAAGAAAAGTGCCACTAGATTGTGATTAAAATCAGAACAGTTCTTGATGATAAAGAGTTTGACTAGTAAGTTAAACTTGAAACAACGCTTATATTTTTATGGCTTGACAAAAGGTGGATCTTTGAAAGATCATCTATCGATATTTCAAGGAAATCGTCACTAATTTGAAGATCATGGAGGTCAAGTACAATGAAGATGACTTACGGTTGGTATTGTTATGTTTGTCGTCGCCTTCACATATGATTCTTAGAGATACTATCATTTATAGTCTGGATACTTTCACTATTGACGAAAACATACAACATACTTTATTCTAAGGATAAAACAAAACATTTGGTAGTTAGATCTGAAGCCCAAGTAGGGGGTCTTGTCATTCGTGAGAGAAAAACAGTTAATCGTAAAAGGGCAAAGTCGAGAGTATCGATAGTGATAAAGTCTGTTGATACTTCAACAACAAGAGACATATGAAGAAGTAGTGCTATGAGTGGCGGAATAAGAATAAGTTTGCCACCACGGATCAGAATGGGCAACCAAGAAATTTTGGTGATGCCAGTCTTGCAGAAGGAGACTGTAGTAGTGGAGATATTTTGGTGATTATTGACTATGACTCCAAATTCGACGAGGATTGAATTCTTGATACAACCTGCACTTTTCATATGTGTTCTAGTTGGGATTAGTTTCTTCATATGAAATAGTTTTAAAGAGTTTCATGGTGATAAAATATGACTAGCCTTGTGAAATAACTGGTATTGATAAGGTTAGAATGAAGATGTTTGATGGGAATGGTCATGACACTTAGCTTGGTGAGACATATTCTAGGTTTAAATAGAAATATTATCTCTTTAAGAACTCATGATTCAAAATAATACATCTATGCTATGGAGTTAGAGTTCTGAAAGTTACCGAAGGTGCCAGAGTTGTGTTAAAGGGCGAAAAAAGTCCCGATTATGTGTTTTGGAAGGTTTGATGGTTAATGTGGAAATAGCTATAACTTATGGCTTGACAAGCAATAACTCAGATAGAGTTATTTATGATCTGGTTACTTGTGGTGATTCGAGTAATGATATTGAAAAACATCCCAATAGTTCAACTAGTGCTAGTTGTGATCTTCTTGCTCGTAGTGATTTGAGCAGTTTTGACAACTTAGGTGAAGTTGGGAGTGTCCATAGTGATTCGAGCAGTTTATGTGACTCGATTGGAGTTGAAAACGAATGGGATGATTCAAGCAAAGTTGGTGGACAAGATATATCTGCTAATAAACAGGGCTTGAATTTAGTTCATAGTTGCTGAGTATCCCTACAGGGGCATGATGTGCCCAAAAGGGGCATGGTGGAAGAGTTAGAAAATGACATGGAAGCATGGAAACTTAGCCCCCGTTTGGCCCCCATTAATTTTGATTATAATGGGGCGAATAGTGCTTTTTTAAAAAAAAAAAATGGATTGTTATAAAAAAATGAAAAGTTTTTGATTTACGTGTAATATTATTTTATTGAATATTGTGTGGTTGAAAGTAGGAGAGAGCAAAATTTAACTTAACTTGATGAGATGTAATTGAGGCCAAACGGGGGCTTACTTAGTTGTTATGGAATTTGTGTTAACGTGAAGTTTGTTAGGTTTTGATTCAAATTCTATGTTATTTGAAAATTTGATTCATGGATTGGGGGTTTGATTGAAATAAGGACTTTGAAATTGATGAAGGAGTAGGCGCGGCGTTGAAAGCAACAAAAGAAAGCAAAGCCGGCGTTGGGCACGCGATGGTGGCACTTGGACTAGAGAAGAGGTCTCCTAGTTGGGTTGAACATGGTTCAATTCAGTTCGATTTTAACAAGAACCAAATCGGATCCAAAATTTTCAGGTATTTAGTAAGTGGAACTGTTAGGTTCAAATTTAATTATGGAACCGTTCGAGTTCGGTTCCATTCTGTTCGATTAGATTCATTCGGTTCCAAAATTTCGTATTATAATTAAAATTTTTAATATTTATAAGGTTACATTAATTCAACTAATGATATGTTCAATTTTAGCTTTTAAAAAATAACGTAGTCCAATCTTATGTGTCTTTTGCATCCCTCTTTTTTGTGTTCTTCATAAATTTGATTGTTAAAATCACAGGAAGAGAAATATAGTGAGCTCAAAAAAATTAAGAAACGCGTTGTGGAGCTTCAATTCAATATCTCCAAAACGGTAGAAACGGCACTACATTAAAGTAACAAATTTGGATAAAACTTAGGTCAATTTAATTAAGTTGGATTTGAACTGAAAATTAGAAATAGGAAAATCATAGTTTTGACTTCGAGCTAAATTAACTAGTTGCTAATTTATTTAGAAAAATAAATAATTTGGGTTATTTAAAATAAATTAATTAAAAAAATTAAGAAAATTTGGTTCTTATTAGATCTTTTGATTCTCGATCTAGCACCGAGAACCGAACCAAATTCGTCGATTATCAATTCAGATACTTGTTCGAATATTTAACTTAAGAAGAACTACTCGGTTCAAGAGTTTTGTCCAACCTTACTCCTAGTTGATTTCTATCGCATTTTTTGTGTTTTACTTCATCCATAACTCCAAGATTTGACTATATATACCCACAAGGTATAGGTTCTTCATAAGTTCAAATAACAATTAGATCATTGTAGTATACATCAAATCTTATAAATGCAGTTTTATTTTCTTGGAATATGAAATTCTCCTCTTCTTCCATGTAAATCTAGTTTTCTTTGCAATCCATTATATACATATTGCCCATATTATTTTTGTCTTTATTATTTGATCCAATTCTCAACAATTGATATAGAGCGATTCTCGTATCTTATTCGTTTCCAACAAACAAGTATGTTGACTCCAAACGTGTCCCAAACTTTCATCCACGTGCCACTGGGTCCCCCATAAATGAATAAACCAGATTGAAGGTTATGGGCTCGAGAAGAAAAGATTTTCTCTCATTCTTTCAATCTCATTTTTCAGCTTTTAACATACAAAAATCAAAAGAAAAAATTCCAACTTTTTCCCATGAATCAAATCTTCTTTACCAGTACCATTACCACACTGCATGTAATATTTATGGGTTTTGGTTAACAACTACCCTCAGCCTTTCTGCTACTTCCATCAAACTGTGTAAACTTCAAATTTTACACTGCCTCTGTGTTGCAGTTAGGTCATAGATTTGCTCAGTATTAATGCAACTAATAGTGTATTGTTTGGTGCATACTTCTGCAACTTAAAAGCATTATGCATATTTTATACTAGTTATCTGCCCTATTACATGAAAATGATTAAACAGAAGATACATTTGAGGAAAAGCTTTGGTTTTTTTGATAGGAGGAAAAGCTTTTGTTTGCTTTACAAATATACAACGCAGTGGTGTCATTGTTGTTGTTGTTGTTATTAAGATGGTTTAAAGATAATACAAAAAGTCTGTTAAATCAGTCGAATCAGTGAATATATAAGTCAGAGGGAGTAGGACACAAAGTGGAAAAAGTCAAAAGAGAATAGCTTCTTTTCCCTGTCCTTGAATTTGATTGACAATTATACTTTGTTTTTGGTTTTTGTCCGTGTATATAAGAGATAAAAGTTTGTTTAATTATGTTGAATTTCTCTTAATTGTACTTTGAAAAATACCTAAAATTATTTACAAATACAAACCTACACCTTCAAAATTTTTTTGCACGATATATGTTTCTGTTTGATAGAGATCAAAATTTCAATTTTAATCCAAATCAAAGTCAACAATTAATTTTAATTATATATTTCATAAAATTCACAGTTTTTCAATCATATATTTTATCAATTTTTATCAGAATCTATTAAAAATCTGATTTTAATCCTCAACAAATAGAGGCTAGTTCTATGTTCATTTGCATGTAGGTGTATGCTGCAAGTGCATTTTCCAAGTTTAGTTTGTAGATTGAATATCCAAAATTGTTAATAAAATTTGTAGCTCAATTGAATTGGTTGAAATAATTATAAAAACACTACTTTGACAGAATTTGTCCATTTGAGAGAAAAACAAGTTTGCATCTATTAAAACAAGTTTTTACTTAAACGAACTCATAAAGTTAGTAATTAATAGTACGTAAAGTTGTAAGAAAAATAGTTTGAGTAGTAAACTGGCACTAACAATGAATTGTAGAGAACTTATTGAATGATAGTGTTGACTAATAACAGCACTCTGTTATCTAAGGTGTCAAAGAATTTGACGGCATAGTAGAACTAAAACTTTATTTGAAATGTCAACACTAGTCAATATTTTCCTGTCTATACTCAAATGCATCTCCTCATGAAGTTCTTGTACACTACTCAAGGTGTATAGGTCCTCGTTCAACCCAAATGAACACAATAATCATTTGACAATTTATTGATTAATTCTCAAAACTCATATGACTTCTATCATCCTCAATACGATATACACTCTGTTACTAATCACAAATCAATTATTTTCTTTAAAAAAATATTTTTTTAGTTATTAGTTCAATCAATATAATATTAAGTGAAAGATTGGAGAAAAACAAAGACAAGGATTTACATTGTCACTGTCCAGACGATTATTATTGAGTTAAATCATTTTGTTGGATGTGCCCACCTATTTGAAAGATACAGTGTTGACAGCAGACGATTAGATGCAAAAAATTGCCTATTTTATAAAATGATCTAATTTGTGATATTCTGTTAAGAGAGTGGACAAAATATTTTGTGCATAATTCATTATTATTTTATCTTGTACTGTTGTTCTGCACTGCTTACATCTATGTATCAGCTTTATCGATCCGATTCCCATGGTGAAAAATCCAAACCTCTTCTCTCCTTGCTCATTTTCTCCCGCTCCTTAAACTACTATCTGTTCCCTTCCTCTCATTTTTTCTTCACTGACATAAGTAGGAATACCTGCACACTTCCTCACGCACGCACGCACGCATACTTCTATTTTCTTTGCTCTTCAAATAGATACATACACTATACATATACAATCTTCATCTTCTCTCTCTAGACTCTGTACCTATCTCTCTCTCTCTCTAGACATATGATAGAGTGATCAGCAGAGGACAGCCCAGAAATGCAGATTTTCCAGCAATATCATACCTTGTTATTTCGCCTTATCTTGATCCATCAAATCCCCGTGAACGCCACTCCCTTATAATACTCCACCTCTCTGTTAAACCAATTACAAAACCTTACGAACAGTTCCAATTTCCAACCCCGTTGGTAAATCATCGTAATGTTTCTATTTCTCCAGTGTGCTTAGTGATTTCTTGTCTTCAGATAATTTGTTTGATCAATGGAGAACTTTTACTGTGTTGATAGCAGCAATGATTCACATTTGCCTCCGGGGTTTAGATTCCACCCTACTGATGAAGAACTGATCACTTACTATCTTCTGAAGAAGGTTCTTGACTGTAGCTTCACTAGTAGAGCCCTTGCTGAAGTTGATCTTAACAAGTGTGAGCCCTGGCAACTTCCTGGTAAGTTTTTCCTCAAAACTGTGTTGTACATGTTTGCTCTCTTGTTTATTTGTTATTTTAAGTCCAACGTTTTGTATAGGGAAAGCTAAGATGGGAGAAAAAGAATGGTACTTCTTCAGCCTCCGTGATCGGAAATATCCAACTGGGTTAAGGACTAATCGCGCAACAGAAGCTGGATACTGGAAGGCCACTGGAAAAGACAGGGAAATTTACAGCTCAAAGACTTGCTCACTGGTGGGAATGAAGAAAACCCTAGTTTTCTACCGTGGAAGAGCTCCAAAGGGTGAAAAGAGCAACTGGGTTATGCATGAGTATCGCCTTGAAGGCAAATTAGCTTATCACTACTTGTCTAGAAATTCCAAGGTACAAAATTGAAAATCAATTGTGTTTAACCTATTGTTAGTAACCATTAACCTTAAATATGCTGATACTGTATTGGTTTCTGGGTTGTCTGTTCGAATACAGCAGCTAATTATGTCCAATATCCCAACATTTTGTCTATCATCTCTTGCAGAAAGATAATTTTCAAATGAATTTCCCTTTCAAAATCTCGAACAACCATAATTTCGTACGCAATAATTCATAATGATAGTTTGTATTGATTTTTAAGCGGAAAGATCTGTTGTATTATCCTTGTCTGTACAGTACATATCATATTACTTTGCATGGTACATTCATATCTTCATAATCATGAAGACTTCATAATCATGAAGAATCAAGAATAAATTTTCACCCATTTTTCATGTTCTAAAAGTGTAATTTAAACCTAATCAAATCTTTATTTTTACGTGGAGAGAATGTCTCAAAAGAATGATGTGATATTTGTCACTGTTTGACATCCAGGATGAGTGGGTAATTTCTCGAGTGTTTCAGAAGAGCGGCCCAGGTAGCGCCACAAGCGGTGGCAAGAAGCGGCTGACCACCTGCATGAACCCTTTTTCTGAAGTTAGCTCTTCCTCTTCAGTTTCTCTGCCGCCGCTCCTTGGATCCGCAGCTGCAATCACTGAACATGATAGCAGCTCCTACGATGCCAACGCCACTAATGCCAATGAGCACGTGCCCTGTTTCTCCACCGCAGCACCACCGAGTTTCAACTACGACTCTCTCTTCGAGCTGCCACCGGCCACCTCCCAGAATATGTTTATCGCAGGTCACTCATCTTCTTCACCAGGTTTTCCCAAAAACATTGGTGGAATCTCGTCTTTTCCCAATTTGAGGTCTCTCCAAGAAAATCTTCAGCTACCTTTCTTTTTCTCCGCTCTGGCTCCTCCAACAATGCACGGCGGCACCAGTGATCAGATGACTGGTTATGGCCCTGTTAACCACTGGTCGTCACCGGAGAATCAGAAAATGGGTCCCACTTCCACCGAGCTCGACTGCGTGTGGAATTACTAATCGAAAAATCTTGCCGATCAGAATTTGTAATCTTGTTCCGATGGATTCTCAATTATATTAGGGTTTTAAATATTAGCTTTGCTATTATCTGTAGGATCTTTTTATAATGCATGGAAGTTGTTTGGTATGTTCTATTTCATTGAAAAGTCCTTATTATTACTGACTTTGTCGTCCTCGAGCGTCCTCGGGCGAGAGCTAATAGGAAGAGAACTGGCTCGATGTCTCACTATTTAGAAATTCCGCACAATTTATTGCATTATGTTCTTATGTAGCACATGGTCCCTTGTACACGTTGTCCTAATGTAACCAATGTTGTGGCCTACCTGTTTTGAATAGTAATTGCAAGATCGTGTTCTTAGTAAGGATTGTGATTGTGATTGAAAAATGCTTGTCCGTGCATAATATTTTCTTATGTAGTAAATCATTTTGTAAGTTGTTAGGTACATGTAGCACAATCTGTGCGTATTAATGATGAATCATTGTTAGTTTAGGTCGTTATTAGTTCGTGATTGTTGTGATGTATTTTCGTGTATTGGATTATAAATTAGGGGGTCTAAGAACATTCATCTTGATCAGTGAATAGAGAATGATACCATGATAGTATGAACATTCAAATCAATAGGTAAAGCGAAGATGATTTACACTAGATTTGTGTAAAGACCATTTTTGAGACGAGGGATTGTAACGTCTATAGAATATTTAGGGAGTATTGTCGATCTAAATTGTTGAGATATACTTTCTTATTTTGAACTTGATGTTCAAGCAAGTCAAGTTGTCTTGACATCTTTGTATGGTTATTTTAGAGCTTCTCTCGTCAACTGTAAGAATTTGATGTCGCTTTTAATGTCACTCAAATGAGTAATTCTATACAATCGATTAAACATGAAATGAATAGTAATAGATACCAATTATAAAAATCATCGTACGTACATCTCTCACTAAAATGAGTGTACAAAATTGGTTATAATTTCACAAGGAAGACTTTTCACGAAAGTGAATGACCTGTAAGATGAATTTACATAATTGATTATAATGCAGGCCTTTCATGAGCAATGTGCAATACAATCAGATTTTATATTACGTTATAAGATGAATTTTAGTACTAATTTAGTAAAGCTTTTGTTTGCTAAAAAACTAATCAAATCTTATTTTTAATCATACACTTCATTAAACTCACGACTTTTATTCACTTTTCAACTCAAATTTTATAAAACCAACTAACTTTTATCAACTTTTAACAACATCACACGACCCTAACCCAAGTGACTCGACTAAAATCCCCAAACACTACTAGCTATAATCAACATAAGAGGAGCTTAAAAAATTCATGATGATTGATGACGACAAGTTTTGTTATATTGTTTTCAACGGATTGCGTGATGAATTCAAAATTCAGCAATGCAATGAGTTGGCCTCCACTTTGGGTGTGTGGACAAATGCACATATGTCAAATTTCACGTATAATGGCAATGCACGCTATATGCCAAATATGTGCAAATCCTTTGGATTTCATTATGATGAAAAGAGGGAGATTGTCTGCAGAATGGCAAAAATACACAACACCAATTTACTTATTTGTATACAAAATTATCAACAGGGCGAAAGTGGAAACATCAAAAACATGGATTTGGAAGGGGTGGGGCAGGGTGAAGTTAATTATTTCATTACATATTGAAGTTTGTTCATTGTCAAGTTTTATTCATTGTACTTTGAATTGTTTTCAAATGATCGCTGAACTTACATAAGTTGCACTCCATCCATTATCCACGAAGTTATCGATACTTGAGAAGCCTACGTGGACAAACGAAATATGATATGGCACGTTGATAGTGTTAAAACTGTCAAACAAGCACTATGTGACTTTCACGTTTAAAGAGTTAATTGTTTCATTATACATTGAACGTTGTTCATCGTCATGTAACGTTTTACTTACTGTACTTTGAATTGCTTTGAAATGATTGCTGAACTTGCACAATTTGCACTCCATTCATCACCCATAAAGTTATCGTTGCCTTCTTTTTGATTCACAATCTTTTAGGATTGAGCAAATATCTAAATACAATAGGAAATGAATCAAAAAAATTATTTTCCTCTTAAGATGTACTTTTTTTTTTTTTTTTTTCTGGTTTTATTGAATTGTACATCATTTTAGGCTGGGGATTGGACTTGTCATGAGGAAGGTAAACTCTTGACAGACAAGAGGCTATGGGGTATCAATGGGTCCACTCGGGGGAGAATCGATGTAGTTCATACTAAAAAATTATGACCAAATGACATGTTGGGTTTGTTAAATTGAAAATAGATTTAACAAGAAAATAATCACGAGTCGACTACTAGGATTTTTATTTATTTTTTATTTTTAGCTTTTGATTAATAAAATAATTTGGAGCATGCTTGAAGTATGAATGGGTCCAAGGTGATGGGATTGTGGTAGATAGTCAATTAGCCATGCTTTATTTTGGGTGATGCAAGATGGATGTATTTGTGTCATGAAATATAATTTTTAAATAAAATGGTAACAATATCTTGCATCAATAATAAAAAAAAAAGGTTGAACCTCAATCTTGAGGGCCCCCACCACCCCGCCCTAGAGCTTTGTGAGGGAGGTAAATCGCAGGATGTGCCCCAATAGTTCAGGGAATAAAAGCTGCATGTACACTGCGCCTACAAGGAGTTCAATTCCATGTTTCAGAAATCGAACCCCTACACTGCGACTGTCAGCAAGGCGTGAGATAACCTCACTCCTATCCATTGCACCACGAGACTATGCCCCGAGGGCTTATATCTTGCATCAATTGATATCAAGGCTGGAGGTTCGTGTATCAACTGATGTTGGTGCATTCCCGTGGAGTGAGTGGACATTGCATGAGCATTCTTGCAACGGCGTAGATCCAAGGGAATTAGCTTGGGTGAATTTTCGAACATGATTCCAAGTGATATTTAATGACATGCATTTATTTTATGAGCTATAATTTTTAATCAAAATGGGACGATACATACATTAAGAATAGTAAAAATAACCTATACACTAACTTGACCACACAGGCGATGTGAAAAGTTAGCTATTTCCATGGATAAATGAGAATTTAGGGATAGTAATGGATCGAGTCGAGCCGGCTCGGCCCTTTTACCCACGAGCTCGTTGCTCGGGGGAGAGCTTGGCGTGAGCTCAGGAGCTCGTGGGCCGAGTTGAGCCGCCCGCGAACTAGGGATTTTTAAAATTTTTAAATTTATTTTTTTTGGGTAAATTTGCACATTTTTGGACCTTTTTCAAAAAAAAAAAAAATCATATTTTTTGACGAGCCCATGAGCTCGTCAAAATGGCTCGTGGGAAATGATGAGCGGAGCTGCCCATGGCTGGGTTTTAACAAGCCGTTCGGTCCATTTGACATCCTTATAAGAGTCGACTTACATAAAATAATATATGCTTACAATTATTTGAAATTTTACAGAACAAGTATTAAATGCTAAATTTGTATGGGCTTACAAAGTGGGCTCGATGATTATGGAAGCCCATGTATACTCTTACCACAACCCATTACAAGAGATTGCTTCTCTATAAACCTTTTAATTTTTTGAGCCAACTAAATGACAAATCTAATTAAATATATGAATTATTGATTTATGCCCTATAACACGATCACCCGTTGATTTAAATAGCATTAACTCATTTCTATTAGTTGACAGATTCGATAGTGTCAAATTAGATGATCTTACCAAAATTGTCACATCCAACTCGTTTGCCATGAACACAATTCCTCGCAAATTACATAGTTGATTTGCAATGGATACTTCGACTATTGTTTCTTGATAGATCTCGATGGCATAAATTTTCCTTGCATGATAACTCCCAATATAAAACACTTGGTGTGCCGATTTTATACAAAATCATGGAAAAATAATTGAGTTATTTTATTAATCACACTCCTGTCACTCGTTTTTTAGAACAAGCCGTCAAGCTCTTTTCAAGATAAGTAATTATATAACTTACTAGCAATAAGTAAAGCCAAATTTGTCGTTTCACTGTCTGTCCATTTTCCCAAACAAGGCCCAAATTCATATTAATGTGAAGTGAATTGTCCCGTGGATAACATTGATAAGCAACAACGGGAGAATTTCTTCTTCAATTTCCTTCGGTATTGGGCGTCACGCACTCGCACAGAGATGGCTGTAGCAGTGATTCATAGCATATCGCGTGGCCTTCCCGGTAAGATCCAGAGTCTCTCTCTCAGTAGCACTCCAACTGCCGCTAGCGCCGCCTTCAGGCCACTCAGCTTTTCCTCGACCACTTCCTTCAGCCTTTTTTCCAAAGGTTAGCAAAAAATAGGAAACCCATTTCCAATATTCCATTTTTGTTAGCTTAAACTTGTGGGTTTGTTGTTTTATTTGATGTAGAACTCGACATTTTACCAAGTGTTTTTGATTTTGGGTAGGACTGGTCTTGGTAAGCCCGGTTCAAATGCCACTCCGGCGATCCATTGTGTGTGAAGCTGCACCTAAGAAAAAGGCGGACTCTGCTGCGAAAAGGGCTCGACAAGCTGAGAAGAGGCGGGTTTATAACAAGGCACGGAAATCTGAGATCAGAACTCGGATGAAAAAGGTTAATTTGCTTTGTTTCAAGCTCAATTTGCGTAATCAAGAATATTTCTAGCAATCTGTTTTCCAATTATCCAGTGATTCTCTGATTTTTGGAGTTGCATAGATTGGGTTTGCTGTTAGATTATTTTACATTCTCGACACAATTAATCTACTATATATGTGAAATTCAATGTAAGTCTTAACTGTCTAAGTATTAGAATATGCCTATTAAGCCATAGGGAGTCTTAAGAGGTCTCCTTTGCAAGCCTTACTAGCGTTTACACTTCGCAACTTGAGGGCTTTTGGCCTTTTTTGAGGGTTGAAATGGGAAAAAGTAGCTTCTCAGATGTGATATGTACAAAACTTCCTTGCAAATTTCAATTTTAACTTCAAAATCTGTTTGTTTTTTATTTGTTTAATTCTTATTGTGGAACATCAACAAAAGCATTACTTGTGAGAATTAAACACTAGGCCACGTGCAGCAACTTATAGCCTGGTACTAAAGCCTTTAAGCTGTATGTGATGCAACAAACATAATTTAATAGTTCATCGACTTGTATAATTTTTTTGTAATATATTATGCAAGATTATATGCTGAAAGCATGTCTCAACAATATTCAAAAATCTGCTAACTTGACTTTAGTCGTGCTCATGTGTCATGCATTTAGAGCAAATCAGTTGATCTCCAAAATTCTAGCTCAATAGGGGTCGAGTTGACCCCTTCATTCGCATACAATTTTTTATTTTTACTTTTTTGGCCTTTTGGGCTGCTCAGAAGAGTTCAGGAAAGGCACAAGTATTTTTGAGGATACTCAACTCACAAATTTGGACGTCTGCATGCTTCTTGTTTCTGATGGAGAGTGCAAGTGTAAACATCCCTTTGTTTCAGGCTTGTGCCTGTATATAATTGCTTATTGCTGGCTTAAGGATCCATGGTAGCTATACGGCCTAAACATTGGATTTGAACTCCTAGAATCTATGGTAAAATGCTTCGTTGGACGTATACTTGGTACTCATTTATCATCTATACACATGTTTTGCAGCATGCAAATTGGGGAGTGTTTTATAAGTATTATAATAATCTAGAAATGTGAAAAACTGTGAATAATTAATTATCTTTTAAGTGTAAAGCAGCAAGATATAATTCTATCTATTAACTGAATATAAATGCCAGTAAGTTTTATGGTGATGTCTTTCCTATAGATATGGTTAGTTGCTGGTTTAATAACCAAAGCAACCATAATTTGACTTTTCTATGGACTTGAAAATCTAATTTTCGTGAAAGAGGTAAAAAGACAGCAGATGGATGTTTGAAATATTTAGTTCTAATTGTTGGTTTGATAACCCCAAGATCATGATTTGTCAACAGTGCCAAGGGAAATCCCTTGTCCACTTTTTTGGATGTTCGAGGTCAATGTTTGTAACTTATTATTAATTTGAAGAGGTAGACAAAACATGCAGAATAATACATACTGGGCTAGTTGTTGGTTTGATACCCCATGGTATCATGATTTGTCATAATACCTGCACTAATTGCCATGCCCCTCTCCCTGATGTGCTCTGATATTATCTAATCTACCGATGGGGCTCGGCCAAGCCCATCCCCGACCACACCTAGTGACAGGTGAGTATTTTATGGGGGGAGAGAGAGAGAGATCTATCAATAACAAAGCTGCTTAAAACACTATTAAGTTGGTTAGATATACAAATTGATGCAGTTCTGTTGCAGAGTATAAGTATTCCAGTTGAAGCTTTAAATTGGAGATTACCAGATTGGGATGCTTCTGGAAAATGCATAACTGCTGAATTGGAAATAAACATTGACTGAAACATGAACAGGAAATTTAGATGAGAGCCCTCTCTCAGGGCATGAGAAGTTTTCTGTCTTGATCATGTCGTGAAAGTGAAGGCACTTAACTAATCGCATGATTTGCGCAAATTGTACTTTTGAAGACCAATAATTGAATAAAATCACTGCTGTCATAAATTTGCATAACCATTTACTGCATTACTCGAGTCCCCCTAAAACAACGTGAATACCATGACAATTCTTACAGATAAGTACTGAAGGAAGAAATATATTTTAAAACTATGTTGTATATTTGTGCTCGTGCATGAAATTTTTGACTTGCTGATGAGAGAACAATGCATGTTGCAGAGAAAAGCACGAGGACAGTTGCACAATGATGTGTATAACAATGCCTTTGTCTAGCACAAGTTTATATTATAAGAACAATTTTTAAGGAAGCTCTAGTTTTGTTGCATAATTGTTGATGTGAAGTGATATTTTCTTTTTTTTTTTAATAGTTAGTGTAAAGGTGTTGAGGTTGAAATGCTATGAAATATGTTTTTTCCTTGAGCCAATGGCCTTATTTTTGAAAGTCATTAAATTACTTATTTGAGGAGACATATAGAACTGTGTATCGGCTGGTGATTTCCATGGTCTTGAGTTGTAAATTGTTGGATTTGGCTATTTCTGCTATTTAAATTCGTTTCTTGCATTATCAGGTTCTAGAAGCGCTTGATGTTCTTGGAAAGAAGCCTGAGGCTCAAGCTGAAGAAGTTCTTCCCATTGAGATGCTGATTGCAGAGGCATATTCTGTCATTGATAAAGCTGTGAAAGTTGGAACTCTTCATCGGAATACAGGAGCAAGGACAAAGTCCCGACTTGCTAGAAGAAAGAAAGCCATTGAGATTCAACGCGGCTGGTTTACACCTGCAGCTTCAGCTCCTTCAGCATAATGTTCATCGTTTATGTGATGTATATGTCTAGTGTAATCAGTTCATTATTTTTTGCTAACTGAGATTTTGATCATGAGATGTTGCCATGTTTCGTAATATATCACTCACAACTTGGCTCAAATTTTCTATAAATTATCTTTCAACTTCCAGTGTTGGTGGATGGATTGATGATTTTACCTCTTTATTCTAAGATATGTTATGGCGGATTTCCAGTCTATAGTTATGATATGTTTGGTACATTTACCGGCTGTTTGCTCCTCATTCTTTTCCATCCAATTCTCATTTTGCACTCTCATTTTCAACTTTTGTGGGTCCCCCATGTTCGAATTTAGTGGACATTTAATTCCTTATCGGTACATCCCTCTGACATGTGCACAGACAAGCCACAAATAAAATGTTGATTTTCATCTATGCCCTTGCCATATATTTTTGTTTAGGATGTTTGAGTGAGACAATGAGGGTAAACTAGTCCATATTTATTTCCAACAGCCCCGTCATATACATTCAATTCTGACAATCTGAAGACTCTAATTTTGAAATATTTTTGCTACTGTAGCAAAATGAGATGTGAAGAAAAAATTGGAAAAGAATGGAGCTCAAACAGCTGCTTAATTGCACTGGACAAGATTAGGGAATAATTAAAGGAGTAAAAACTCACATTTCCTATGTAGTAATGTTCAATAATGTGTACAAATAAATCTTCCGTAAATAGAGCATTAGAATAAATACATATCGAAAAGCTTCTTTGGTGTCCACAATTTGAACCTAATGCATAACCAGAGATGCTCGAGTTGCCCGGTGACAAATCTCAGGCAAACACAAACATTTATCACAAAGCTGTATCCATTTCTCAGCCTCTTCTATTCCTCTATTGTATCCTGCGTGAACACTTAGATTAACTGTTTCTATTCATCGTCCCATCTCCTCGACCTATTCTCCCTCTTTCAATTTTGTGTTCATGGCATCCACCAATAACTTCGTCCTTGGTTCTGCCATCATTCCCTTTGACACCATATCAATATAATAACTCAACGCATCCTCTGTCCTTCCCTTCTCATAAAGGCCATGAACCATGATCGTATAAGATCTCTGATCCGGTCCCAATCCACTCCTCTCCATCCCGTCCCAAGTATCTTTCACCCGCTTTTCATCTCCCCAGTGAACAAACAACCTCAAAATCAAGTTGTAAGTATCACCAAGCAATGCACATCCACTCTTTTCCATCCTCCCCAAAATCTTATCAACTTCCTCGGGCTTCTTAACATTCTTCAGCAAATGACTGTAAGTTAAAGCATTCGGTAAGCAATACCCTCCCTTATCTTCCATCTCATCTAACAACTCATAAACTTTCTCCATCCTCCTAATTTTACACAAATGCTTAATTAGAGAATTATAAGTAGCAACATTTGGTGAACAATCCATCCCATTCATCTCGCGGAAAATTGCTAATGCCTCGGAAATTCTCTTCTTGAAACACAATCCGTCGATGATACAGTTGCAAATAGCCACGTCTGGCCAACATCCCTTCTCCTGCATTGACCTAAACAACTTCACTGCACTACTTATCTTCCCTGACTTGCTCAATGCATTAATATAAATCCCACAAGTAAATATATCTGGTTTGCACCTTGACGCCATGATAATCTTCCAAAACCTCTTGGCATCTGGTAAACTACCCAGAACACACCATCCATTCAGAATGATATTCCATGTCTTAATATCGTCCCTAAACTCGCTTCTCTTATTGTGGAACAATAATTCGGCTTCCTCCACGTGCTTGTACCGACATAATGACAATAAAAGCGTCTGAAAACCGATCAAGTCTTGCTGTAAACCAAACTCTTTTCTCTTGTAGAAAAATTCGACCGCTTCCTCGACTTTATGTGCGGAAGCATACCTATGTGTCACAACTCCGTATGTTCGCTCATCTATCAAATTTTTCCTCTTAGACATTTCGTCGAGCACTTGGGAAAGCTCTTCAAAGCGTTTCATTCGGCCAAGAATATCAAGCATTTCGTTAAAAATGCAGGTATTTGGGAAAAACCCATGTGCATTTTTCACATTAATAACCCAACCGAAGAACGCGTAAGCCACTTTCCAATCCGAGCGGTGCCGTTTCAGCACGTTGAGTACTAACTCTTCTGATAAAGAGAGAGTGCATTTTGCAAGAGACTGCTGGATATCTTCTACTGATTTATGGGACTGAAGCTTGAGAATGGCTTGAATTTTTACAGCTTCATTTTCAATATATGAATCCGAATATCCGTTTGATGAGATGGCGGAAGCATAACCAGATTTGAAAAACTTCGTGCTAATTTGGGTTTGGTGATGGTGATAATTTTGAGCTCGGATTAAAAATGGATGGATTTTTCTTGAAATGACGAAGGGAACATTTGTGGGTTGTGAACTGAAATCAAATTCCAATAAGCCTTGGATTTTCCAGGATGATTTTGTCAACAGTTGGAATCTGGAATGCATAATCTGTATATCGATATACAGAAGTTCTGTAACAGAACTCATCATTTGGACTTCCAAGATGGGGTACTTTTAAAGAATTAAGCCCCACAGGCCCCTTTGCCTGTGCAGCGGCTCTCACATGGGGTGGATCCCGACCCTATCCCATGTGTGTGCACAGACTCTGTGTAAACGGGTTTCAGGTAGCACAGTTGACTTTTAAAAATGGCGTTGTCAAAGATGGGAAATTCAACTTTGACTAGTTCAATTCTTAAAATTATGACAATGATCTATTGAGTGTTAAAAGACAAAAATACTCTAAAGTGTATTTATGACAATGATCTATTATGTAATTACAAACGAATGTTTTGTTTAAAAGACATTATTACCCTTTCGTTAATAAATAAAAATCAAACAATTCCCACTTAAAATATCAAAATCAGCAAACTTCTCATTTTTGTTCACTCAAACACAGAAAAAAACACTTTCATCTTTCATCTGCTTCAACCTCAAGATTTGAAAAATTCATCGAATGCAGTAGCTGAAATTTTTTTATATCAATCTCATCAGATCAGTAAGTTTATAATACGCACATTTAATTTTGTTTTCGTTAAATAATTTTACATTTGTATAGATAAAATCTATTTCGACATATAATGTTAATGTAGATAGTTTTGTTAATAGATCTATGAAAAACTTTAAGCCTTTGACGAGAAAAAATTCATCGGCATTAATATTGAAAAATTAATCTGCAAAAGTTTGGTGTGTATATTCTGCTGAATAGCGAATTTGAATTGTCGACTGTCCAATTAACAGTTGAAAAAACTTGGCTGGACAGTCGGACTATTTAACAGCTGGCTGGACAGTTGGCAGGAAGAGCCGAGCCAACTGTCCAGTCGACTCGAATAGCCGGCTGTTTTGAATATTTTATTTTTTTTCTATTTCGTTCGATATTTTCTTGTAATTAAAAATTATTTTTCGTCATGCAGATATGATTGTAGTCCCAATTTGTTACTTTGGTGATTTCGAATTGAGCGAAAGAGATCGATGGGTATGGAAATGGACAAGCGATAAACGTGGTGGTATCCCAATTTTCATAACAGAAACAACAACGTATGCAGGACTCTATATTCTTTTACAGAACAAGCTAAATGTCGATCTCTCTCAGTATGACATGGAATTGAAATTAGGAAGTTCCGAGTCCACCTATGACGATTTCTTCTGATATTGAAGTGAATTATCTGTTTGAAATGAATAATAGACACTTGACTCCTATTTGTGTGACTTTAGTGAGGAAGGATGTCGTCGAAAGTGAACAATTAGACTCAGATGGAGAGGATAACAATGCTAATGATTTTTGGGATACGGTCTACATAGCTCGTGAAGATGATACGGTTATTTTAGAGATAGTTACTCACAGAATTTCGTCCATGGTTCATGACAATGAGTGTGAAAATGCAAATACTTTTATAGATGAGGATTTGATCGCTTTATCCCGACAGAGACATGAGCGGGGTGGGACCTTAGGGGTTGGATCGAGTGGATCGTCCTTTAACTCCTCTCTTTTGGTTCCCGATAGTGAGGATTTGTATGTCGAGCAACTGTTTGAAACGAAAAAAGATTTGCAGGAAGCTGTGCACCTAATTGCGCTAAAATACAGCTTTGAGTTCAAGTGAAAAAATCGAACAAGTCGTTGTTGACAATTGCCTACGTAGACGACAATTGCTATTGGAGTTTGCAAGTGACGAAGATGAACACGAATGAGTGCTTTGTAATTCGTAAGTACACATGGGAACATACTTGTGAAGTGAGATTATGTTGAAATGATCACAGGCAAACCCGAGCTTGGTTTATTGGTCGACAGATAATGCACAAGTATCAGGATCCTCGTACGATCTACAAACTATCGGATATCATTAACGACGTTCGTCGAGAGTATGGAGTAGTCTTGAGCTACCAAAAGACCTGGAAGGCCAATGAATGTGCATTTGAGGATTTAATGGGCTCTGCAGAGAATCTAAGCTAAATTAGCCAAATATTGCCATAACATGGAGAAAACTAATCCTAGCTTGAAATTTTTTATTGAGACGGAGGGTGGGAATTACTTCAAATTCTTCTTCATGGCTCTTGGACAATACATTCGGAGATTTCGAAATGCATTGAGACCCCTAATTCTAGTTGATGGTACAACACTGAAATCTATATATCAAGGCAAGTTGATTATTGCTACATGTCAAGAGCCAACATCCAAATTTACCCTCTTGCGTTTGGCATAGTCGATAGTGAGAATGACTCGTTGATACGATGGTTCTTCACAAAGTTAAGGGAAGTATTGGGAAAGTCGAGAACCTTGCATTTGTAACAGATCGGGAACAACCTTTAATAAATGGTATCGCTGAAGTTTTTCCAAATACACATCATGGGTATTACATGTACCATATTCAAGGCAATATGAAGACCAAGTATTGAGGCAAATGTTTCGTTTCATTGTTCAGGAGAGCGGTTGAAGCCTATAGTGTTAAAGAGTGTAATAAGTTCATGGTTGAAATAGAAGTAAATCATTCGATGCATGGGATTATCTAATGAAAATGGGGATTGAACATTGGACGCACTCATTTTTTCCAGGATGTCGATACAACATGATGACGTCAAACAACGCGGAGTCTCTCAATGCATTATTCAAGAAGGATCAAGA